TGTAACTGGTTGATGTAGCTAAGATAATTAAGTTTCAGATAAACTCTGAAACAGTTTAACTCAATCTCTTACATTTTTTAAATTTTTAAGTTTGTTTGCTATGTGAGCAAAGACTTTTTTTTTAAGTGACCTCAGCAACATTTAGACAAAAAAAATTCATAATTGTGTTAGGTCTAATAATTTTGAGGATTATTACTGATGACAGTACCTTATTGATGACAGGCTCCTCCACCACAGAATTTTTCATGGTTTCATTGTGCTCCTCTAATGACTTCACCAAGGAAAGAAACACCACAAAAACAAAGCAAAAGATAAGATATAACATGCATGATACCAAGGAAATCCTCAATTCCTTGTTGTTCCCCAGCACAAGACAACTGAAACACAACAGCATGTCTGCACACACATGGTGCATATTTCATATAGTAAGAATAATTAACAAACTCTAAGCTCTGTTTTCAGTACAGAATACACTGATTTACTTACTGTGTACTGTAACAGCACCTTGTCCATCCCAAAAGCTAAATTTCTCGAAAAATAAGCAATTTACACTGACATTCTATCAGCAACAAGACAGAAAATAAAGCCAACTATGCTGCATAAGGCTGTGAGCCTACCTTGAAACACATAAAGTACATCTAAAATTTTCCAAAATACCTGTCCATACAGCATAACATTGCTGTGTTAACATAAGATAGAAGTGGTGCACTTTTAATGGCAAAAAGGAAAAAATTTCCTTTTAACTGCACTCTGTAGTGAACACAATTAGCCAACATTACCCAAACAAGCTAATATTCTAGCTGTGACCGGACAAAGGTTAGGTCATGCAGAGCTCTGCTGCCATGGCTTTACTAGTCATGCATATTCTTTCTCCTGCATATTTAGTTTGTTCACATCTGCTTCTTTCTCCTCCATTTCTGCTATGCTACCATTTTTCTGTAATACCAGCAATTCTTTCAAAATTAGGAGCAGTGGTAAGTAAGAAAAAGAAGTGAGAGGAAAAAATCCAAAAGCTCATTACAGAACCAAAATTTAAAAACATTTAACTGCATCTGGAATAGGAATCCAACTAGACACTGAGACAAATGATCAGGCACAGAAATAGTAATTGCTGCATGAGGACTTATTAAAATTGAATCCTAACATGGTAGATCATAAGCAGTGGATAAAAGTCAGGATGACTACGGCAGGGACAAACTAAAACCTCAATACTTTGGCTCATACTGGTTTTAATCTTTGAAATGGTCCATTTTGTCCTTCTTTTGAGGAAACTTTTATATTGGTCTTCAAGAAGAGACTGACTGTAGCAACATTGTGATAGTTGTCATTTTATAGTCAAAGTCTGATTATTTTTGTATTTTATGAAAAAATGGACAACTATTTTTTTGCATGAAATACGGTACATTTGAAGTCATTGACAAATACATTAACCCTTCATGCACCAGAAGTAAACAAGCCAGCAAGTAACTTAAATAAAAGTTGACAGATTGACCTGCAATATTTTCTGCATTTTATATACCATACCAACCTCATTTAGGCATCGCTTTTTGGTAAAAATATTTCTGATAAAAGTTTCCTGGACTTCCTCCTGTTTGACCAAGTACTGCCAGAGCCTCTTCACAGACAGTGCAATATGACTGCTAGATCTACAGAACAAAGTTGAATAAATACATCATGCTCATACTTATGACTGCAGTATTTTATGTTCTAATCAAACTATAATCAGAAGAAATGCTGAAGTAAAACTACAGAGCTATAGACAGTACACTAAGACCAATCTCAAAGCACTTTAATACCCTCTTCCTGCAAAACCCCCACATGAGAGGAGGTGCAAAAGGAAGAAGAAACAGAGTATGTAGTATCTTCTCCTTCTATCTTGGGACAAGTGAGAAAATCTCTTTAAGAGATTACACAATGGTAAGGGTAGCATAGAGACTATTTATTAGTCCAACTCATTCTTTACAATATGAATAATTTCTGTTAAATCCTAAAGAGTGATCTTTCACATGGACAATGAATGATTAACACTTCCTGCTAGGAACACATCATCAGCTATGTAACTTCTCTGAAACATCCATGATTTTTTAGTAACAAAATTGGAAGGATTGTAGAATCAGATCAAAATTCAAATGTTTATGCTTATCCCTAGAAATGGCACACTCAAGCAAAAATTATATATACCAATTTAGCTGCTACATATAGCTGCTTATGACAAACCAAAATTCATCATAATTGCTTTAAATCATAATTTAAAAATAATATCAGAGAGCAGATACATGTTAAACTGGTCCCTTTTAATCAACTCGAGTTACTGAAAGCATGACCATGATTAAATATTTCACAATAAAAAGCCAGACTTTGTGTATTCTGAAATCCACAAGTGACAGCAACATTAAAAAGGCATAAATCTATATAAAAATTACACTTTGAGAGACTGAGCACACTTTTCTGGCTGAACATGCAATTATGTTAAGTCATACCTATGCAAATATCATAAATAATAAGTATTTATCCTCTGAATTTAGGTAACAATACTGATAAGACTGTGAGGTAATTTTATTACTCTATAATAAATATAATAAAATTAATAATATAATAAAATTACACTAAAGATATAATATCATATAAAGTATACAGTATAAGCAATATAATAAAATTACTCTAATGGCAAATATTTAATTCACTGTCACTAATCCATAATTATCTTTCAAGGTGAATGTTTTATTCTTTATTTTATTGTCAAGCATACTTTTTCTAGAGACACACAAAATCCATGTTAGGCTTAAGTAAAAGAATTTTGAAAAACTGGAAACTGTGGTACATTTTTCCTGCTCTTGCCTCAAATCAGAGATGCATGAAATCTGACATGCACCCTTCACTTCACATAGTTATTGAAGTCGCAATCTATCATGTGCACAAACAACGTAATACTTGATTTATATCAAAGATATTACAGTCAGTGTTTACAGAAATTAGACTCACCTGAAAGGAGTGTTTGTAGGCTCAAGTAAACTTTTGTGGCGAAGCAATGCAGGACCAGCAGAGAGGGCATCTTCAGAAGCATGAACTGAAATATAATGTTGAGGTGGACCCCCATACAGCTCAAGACGTCGGAGAAGAACTTGTTCCCAGCGCTGTAAAGTTTTCAAAACTGCATGGCATATCGGGGAGCTAACTGGAAGCTCTAGAAAGACAAGTAAATAATAATAAAATCCCTCCCCTTTCCTTACCCTTGATAAAGATAATTCCAGCAAGTGAAGTTTATTTCGAATACTTCCACAAGTAAGCTTTGTTCAAACCTCAAGTCAATATTTGCAAGCATAAACAGATGAACTGCTTAGGGCTATTATTGCTAAAAAAAGGAACACATTCCCAATATTGGAGAGACTATATCATGGAGTGAACCATTATGAAACTGATCCTCCTGGAAGATATCAAGGTATACAGATGATAGGCAGGTGATAAGAGAAAGCTGACGTACCTTCCTAAAGGGCAAATTGTGCCAAACGAATCTATTAGTGGCATTCTATTGTGAACTGACTGTGTGGGAGGGCAGGGAAAGAGCAACTGATGTCCTCTACTTTTAACTTCTGTAAGGCCTCTGACAGTGTCCCAGACAGCATCTCTGCCACTCCACTGGAGCAAAAAGGATGGACTGTTTGACATCTAAGCAACTGGCTGAATTACATCCCCCAAAAATGATTCTATGATTCTATGGTTCAACATCCAAATGAAAATCAGTAACAAGTGTCATCCCTCAGGGATGAATGCTGAGACTGGTAATGTTCCATCTCTCCAATAATGACACATGCAGGGGTAGTGAGAGGCACCTGCAGGCAGATGGCAGAGAACACCAGGGTGAGCAGTGCAGCTGAGTTCTTGGAGGGAAGGGAGGCCACCCACAGGAACCTTGGCAAGCCTGAGGAGTGGGCCCATGTGACCCTCACAAGCTTCAGCAAGGACAAGTGCAGCTGCATCAGGGCAATCACCAGTAAAACTGAGTGACGAACAGACTGGGAGCAGCCCTGTGGAGAAGAACTTAGGGATACCAGTGGATGAGAAATTTGGCATGACTTGGCTCACAGACTAGAAAGCCCACTGCATAACGGGCTGCATCAAAAGAGCAGGGTGAGAGAGGGAATTTGGCCCCTCTAATTTGTTCTTGTGATACTCTACCTGGGATACCATATCCATGTATGAGGACCCCTCTACAGGAATGACAGGGACCTATAGAAGGGATCCAAAGAAGGGTGACTAAAACAGGTCAGAGGGCTGAAACACCTCTCCTTTGGAGAGACTGAGGCTGAGATTTCTGCAGTTCTTCAGCCTGAACTGGAGGCTCCAGGGACATAATACAGCAGCCTTTCAATATTTAAAGTAGACTTAAAGGAAAGAAACAAAGAGACTCTTTACCAAAGCCTGCAGTGATAAGGGAAGGAGTAATGTTTTCACACCAAGCAAGTAAATTTCGATCAGATAAAAGAAAGACATTATTATGATGAGGGCAGTGAAACACTGGAACTGGTTGCCAGAGAAGTTGTGGATGCCCCAGATGTGGGCGGTCATGTCAGATGAGGCTTTGAGCAACACCATTTAGTAAAAGATGTCCTTGTCCACAATTGGTGGGCAGGGTTGGACCTAGATGACCTTTAAAGATCCTTTCCAAAATCAAAACACTCTATGAGTCTATGAAACAAGGAGCAGGAAGGATGTTACTTCAATTACAAAAAAAAATACAGTGTTTCTACCAGGAAATAAATATTGCAAACATTCTTACATGACTAAGAAGCAAAGAAAACATAAGTATGTGGAGAACTGAGCATTCTTTCTCACCCATTCATCTTCACAACCCACCATGTCATTTCATAAATATACGTGCTGTATGATAAACAGTATCAGAATATCTTTCCCATATCACTAGAAAACTAAGAACTTTTGAACTAAAACTTACAACATATGCATATTATTCAACACATCGCTGATTTTAATGTGCTGATTAGGTATGAAGAGACAACTCTGCTGCTTATTACCTGAAAGATCATGTCCAGCCAAAGGGTAGAAAATCTTCAAATTGTGAAGTACCAGCTGAACCATTGCCAATCTCATCAGTGACCAACTAACAAGAAAGCACTAGTAAGTAATTTACTAATAGGAAAATAATTTTCTCACTTATTCACTACTAGGTTTTAAATTTAGAGCTTCAAATCTTCATTAACAACTACTGAAACTACAAACCATACTTTAGAATATTATAGGTACTTTGAATTAAAGAATCACTACACCACAAACTCAAAAAATAAGTTAAATAATTATTGTGAAAAATTAACTACTAAGTCTAGGTAATACATGAAAATATCAAGTAACTGGTATATTATCTCAAAAATAAAAAAGCAGAAATGCAAGTCTAGACATGGCAAAATATCTTGCATTCTGAAGAGTTATTTACCTGTAAGAATTTGAATTAGAATGCTCTTGGTTATGTGAATTTGATGCAAATGTATCTCCATCATTGTCTTCATCATCTTCATCACTCTCCTGACTCTCTTCTGAATCATATTCCACTCTAGTTTGTGATGGAAGAAATGGCTAAAAAATTCAGCAAAATTCTGTAAATAACTTCTAGCCAACATCCCATTCTAAACTACCTTTTAAAATTGAATAATTACAATGCTTAAAACTTTTTTATAAAAAGCAGACATATCTTACTCAGTTTAGTAACATTTGGAGTTTGTACCTCATGAAAAGGGTAATGGTCCATAAGTACTACATACATCAGTTAACACCTAAACTATTTTTTACATTACTGAAAAATTCTAATGCTAAAAATGAAAACACTAAGCATTTTTGAATTATTTTGTTTTCATGCCACATATAAAAACCAGATGTGGGACACACGAGCCTGCCAAAGAGAAGGCAAAACCACTAGGGTGTATTCTCTTCAATTATTCCAAGAGCCAAGAGAAAACCTGTCCTCTCCCTGATCATATTTATGATCAGTCCATTATCATTGCCTCACTGCACTATTCAGTATTTGCTTTTTTTTTGTCCTTGCTTGTAAAATACACTTACTATGCTCACTATACACTCACTATATGCTTATCTACATAAGCAAAACTTACTAGTTTATTTTGCTTTTGTAGGTAACTCTTGATATAGAAATGTGCGTATAACTCCACGAAGTATGTAACTTTCTAGAAAGAAAGATCTGTCACAATGGACTTAACAAGGCAACATAATATGATTTCCAGCGGGTATGCACATGCATTTTACCCAGTTGAAATAGCTGATAAATGCTTCTCACGTTTCCTTGTTCCCTTAAATACCTCATCAGTAATTATCTACACATTTGTATGCTGTAATTATAAAAATCAACATGATTTGTTCATACCATTATCTGAAAATAAATTAATTGAATAGCAACAGTTTTCAAGAAAGCTGTTTCAAAAATATGTATAGGCTCCATTTTAGAAAAAGCTAAATGTGAGCAATAAAAACAAGGAGATTCTATCACAACAGTACCTAGAATAATGACTAAGAAGAGAAAAACTACCAATCCAGAAGTGATAGAAGACACTTAATTGTCAAAACAGCAAAAAATTACCTTTGCAATGAAATAATCCCAGATGCTAAGCTCAGGAGGGATAAATCTTTCTTTGTAAGATGATGATTGTTGGTCTACCAATGGCAATGCAGGCAACTGAGAACTCTCTTTTGGAGAAGTTTTTGATGAACGCCTGTAATGTTTTTGCTGTTTCTCTCCATCATCTATGTGAGAAGAAAATAGAGTATGTTGCTTTAAACTTTCTGTTCTACCTCCCTATTGCTTTTAATAAACAGAAAAATGAAAAGTAAAAATGACATGACAAGGTTTCAGAAATTTACCTCAGCATTTATGTAACAACTAAACACAGAGAATGTTAATTCTCAAATACATAAAATATATAACTAGAAAGCGAGAATGTAAAAACTCCCTGCACAAATAATACACCCATAACTGCATGAGATGATCTTCTTAAAAAGCTGTCAAATACTATTACTCAAGCCAACAGTCTTGCAAAACTAAATTACTTTAATAAAAACTACTGAATATTGATTATGTTAGCTTTAAAGACAAGCCAGAAGACTTGTTTTTCAGAATATACATTGCAAATACGTAAGCTTGCCATTCCTGCTCCAACTGGTAACTCCATGTGTCCCTCTAGTGGAGATTTGTATTTTTTTCCTCAGTAGAAAAATTCTGCTAAATCCACATGCCCTGACAATACATTTCCTCAGCAAATACAAAAGATAACATTTTAACTAACACAATCTAATATACAACTTATTAAACAGTGAATTGTAGTAATACCCTAAATCCCAGGAGCAGAGAGGTCCCCTGGCTTGCCCCAATACTGACTTTTTTCAAACTAAGAAGTGTCAATGGAAGGTTTTACTTCCATTCTTGATTATTACAGTACTAAAGGAAATAGCTCATTCAAGATTTCAGAAATATCTTAACATATTTGTACCCCCTTATACCCTGAAATACTTCTGGATCTTGTTAGGAATCATACTCCAATACAGCCTTTCTATTAGTAGAGGAGGAATGATACCAACTGTCACTTGTCACCAATTATCAGTGTTCTGACTCTCCAGAACACATCAGAAGTGAAAGCAGCAAGGCAGAAATTATATTTGGAGATTTGTTGGCCATCTTTCATAACAAAGAAAATGGACTTGAATCAATTTCCTACTTGATTGTAGAAGGTGGAGCTTGTGTTTGTTTTTCTGTTGTTGTTGTATGGTTGGGGTTTTTTAAAGATTTTTTTATTCTGTCTTCAAATAGATACATGGAATGTACACAGATCAGTTTCTACAGTGAACCTCAGGAGTGGGTTCAAGACTTAGGTAAAACAAAGAAAGCTTAAAGATGAAGATAAAAAGGCAGTTTATTTTTTGAACATCGATTTGGAGTCCACAAAAAGTGGAAATTTAGCTGAGTCTGTTTTCTTAAGCAGAGGGGAGTACGGGCTGCCTTAACAGCAACAGTAAGTATGAGACAAGAAAGCAATACTACAGGCTTGAAGAGCTCACCTGAGGGACAGATATCTCTATCACTGAGTTCAAGCACCAACCTGTTGGGCCAGACCAGTTGCAAGAATGAACTAACATGAACATCACCAACTAACAACCACTGAAGCTTCCAAAATTACCTTCTCCTGTTAATAATGCTGAGAATGGCAAAAGAAGAGCCAGCATACCTATCTGTTCCTGGAGTAAACTACCACGAAATACTTCCTATACCCTTATTTGTTTTAGTGTTTTATCCACAGGAGACTGAGTCTTGATAGGTGCCTGAAAGACTGTGTCTTTCAAAACTCTTATGGGTATTCCAGTCACTTGAAAACAGAAGGTCTAACACTGAACAAAAGAAAAATAGTGGTAATTTACAAACGCTTATTTCCATATGTAAGACTTACTTGCTCATAACACAAACTGAGCCAACGGTACAATTGTTAACTCTGGGCTATTAAGATTTAAATATATGGTTTTAAAAAAAAAAAACCTTCCAGGATTTCCATACCTCACCATTTTTTATTTGTTTTCTTCTAATGGAAAAATTCTCTGTACTCACACTAGTCAATGGAATTTATTCATTACTTCTGGTCATTTGTGGACCAGGAATAAACATGTTATTCCAGGATTCAGAAAGATTTTTGACTACATATGAAGACAAACTTCATCACAAGCAACTGAACTACTGTGCTGGTTGAGGCTGAGGTAGAGTTAGTTTTCTTCACAAATGGCCATTGTCTTGGATTTGTGCTGAAAACAGGGTTGATGACACAGAGATTTCTTTTATTGCTGAACAGGGCTTCCACAGAGCCAATGCCTTTTCTGCTTTTGCACTTCCATCCTGGCAAGGGAGCTGGGGGTGCCTAAGAGGCTGGGAGGACACACAGCCAGGACAGGTGACCCAACTGACCAAAAGGATATTTCAGAGCATGTGACATCAAGGTCAGTACCTAAAGTGGAGGAAAGGAGGAAGAAGGGCGAGCACCTTTAGAAGCATGGTGTTTGTCCTCCCAAGTCACCACTGCACATGATAGAGCACTGCTCTCCTGGAGCTGGCTGAACACCTGCCAGCCCATGGAAAGCAGAGAATTCATTCCTTGTTTCTCTTTGGCTGTGTGCACAGCTTTTGCTATTAAATTGTCTTGATCTGAACACATTAGTTTTCTTTTTTCACCCTTCCCATTTCATACCTGGTCCTGCCAGTGGGGGAATAAGTGAGCAAATGGCTGCCTGGAGCTTGGCTGATGGCTGGGATTAAACCATGACACAATTTATATATAGAATCTAATAAAAGATGAAGACATCCCATCTTTCATCTTGAAACAGGAATATCATAACACTATGTGTTGCACTGTACCATTTTCTTTTTTTCTTGTTAGGGATAGTACTTGAAATCCACTTACCTGTACTAAAAGTCAAAACCACAATAACTGCAGTACGATGCATTTTCATCTCATTATTCAAAACTTATCAGTTAAGGAGCATGCACATGCATCACCATGAATTTTTAGCTAATTTTTAGCAACTACTTAAAATAAAAGAAATTCACGAGGCATGAAATAAGGAGCAAGTGTTGCATGATACAGAAATGAGCAAGTATAGGCCAGCAGGTTGTTTTTCTAAGCAGAATTCAAAAGGTAAGTTTTATTTCAAAAAACTTTCTAATTAAGTTTTTACTTTTTTATTAAAAACGTACATTATTGCTTTCTGTTGGATTGCTCTTTGTATTTTTAAGAATACTGTAGGCTAGCCATTGGAAAAAATTCAGTATGTAAGGTAAATGAAAGAACAACCACCTAAGTTTGACAAACACTACTAATGCAGATTTCTTTTTATACATTGTAAAAGAAATTAACTACATTAAAAATGTCCTTAAAGTTCCGACTGTCATTTGGGATTTCAAATTACCGATTACACACACTTTCAAATTTCTCATATATTTCTAATTAAAAACAAAACATGTATTTTGTTTTTTATTTGAAACATTTATCTTTGCTCCCATTTTACTTATAACACAAAAGTAAAATGTATGTTATTTCCCAAGAATATTGGACTAATTCAGACAAGGAAAATCCTTTAATTTCTGTTGGGTCCTAAGACATGCAATGATACTGAAAAGATCTATTACTTTCCACCTTCCCAGGAAGAACTAAAAAGCAAACTGCTTTCAACTTCCCGTCACTTGCTCTTGCAGCATGGAGTAACTGAATACATTAAATGAAACTATGGATTTCTAATTGCTAAAACTAAGGTCAAATTCTTCCTCAAGAACCTTTTGGATGATAAGAACTTACCATCTCTATAGACTTAAATTATAAAACAGTTTGTTTAGGTAGTTTTCATGGTAAATGTGATTCTGAAAAAATTCTGCTATAATCAACAACAAGGTTCTTTTTCAGATGATAACTGCCTCTTGGAAAATAAAACATCATGTGCTAGTTCTGTTTGCCAAAATCATTTGCTGCAACTGCAAAAGCAAGAAACACGGCTGAAAAGCATAGTGAACTGAAAAGCTTTCAAACTCCTTTGTTCTGTCTGATTGTTATGTGACAGAGGCACTAAAACAAGTTTTTATTAAAAAAAATTCCTAATAGAGGTTAGGGATTTATAAGACTACCAGATACTGGGTTTTAGTTCCTGTTTTTACCATTTGAGTCTAAGAGAAGGATCATATTTACTTAAGTGAAATTTTATATTCAAAGTTACTACACACTCAAGTCAACTAAAGCAAGGAGCAGAAAGGGAAAGAACATAACTTTATTGACCAGTGCTGTACATGGAGTTATGATCTCTTAAAAGAAGTTTCAAACTTGGAGATCAACACCCATATTCAAATATGTACTACAGGATTGGAGGGGAGGCAAAGAGGAGAAGACATGCATAGTCTTGTGTTAGAATTATTAGTGTTCAGAATTTTTAGCTTTTTGTCTCCATTTGAGAGTGGAAGCATTTCACAAAAATACAGAAGTAAACATAAGGGAAAATAGTCAAGTTAAGCATAACAAAATGGTAAGATATAAAAATCTAAATAATATTACAGAATAATATGGCATAGCTGACCAGAACAAGCATTCCACTCACTTCTCAGTATTTGCTTCTGGGTGTCAGAAAGAGTAAAGGCACAAAAATACAGCTGATTTTAATCTTAATCTCTCTGCTTCATTGGAGGTCTCTTTTTTTCCCTTTCTCTCTCCACTATTCTTTTCAATATGAATGAGAAAGGACTTTGGAGAAATACCTTTCCCCCAAATTTGCTTTATATAAACATGCATTAAAAACAAGTAATAACTCAATGAATCCTAGAATTACATAGGTTGAAAGACACTCAGTCCAACCCATTGCTCAGAACAGGGCTGACTTGATTGATGGCCTAGCTTGTTCAAGTTTTTGAGTAACTCCAAATATAGAGATCCCACAACACCTCTAGGCCCTTTTCTCAGTGATTATCACTAAAAACTAGTATTAAAAAAATGTTCCTTCCCCCCTTCAAATTTTAGGTAGAGCTTTGGGATTCTTCCAGCAACAGTTTTATTAAAACTGCAATCAGGCAGCCAGCATTCTTCCTTCAAAAAAATATGCAGCATATAGGCTATATTTAGTATCTATTTCAGAATACACTTCTTTGTAAAAATTGTTTGCATTTTAAACCAGTGGTAGCAGTAGTATTAACACAGCTTAGCATAGAGTTAATAACACCTAGTTAGCAGAACTGCCAACAAAAGCCAGTAAAGGCTTCTGACAATTCTGTGACAGCAAACAAGTTTACCTTACTAAAGTGATAGAGAGAAATGTTTACTCAGTACCACAGAGAAATCTAATCAGAATAAGAGCTCACTTTTGGGTAAAGACCTCTACTCTGAAAACATTTTTCTAAAAGTCTGATGAAGATATTTAAATAGACCACATTTACATGTTTCCATAAATGGAAGGTAAGACATTTCAATATGTAGCATATATCTAAATATTAATAATATTTTAAAAAATAAAGTTACATTTTGTTTCTCTACATATATATTCAGATGTGATTCAGAAAGTCATCAGAGTTTAAGTAAATTTGTCTTTACAAAACTTTCCCTCAAAAACTTAGTTAATTGTAGCATTTTTGCTGTTGGTTTTATACAAGTCAAATGAAATCAAAAAGAACATAATTATATGAAAAATAAAAGCATTACAGGAATTTGTTCTGGACCTGAGGATAATTTATCACTACTTGAATTTAAAACTTGAAGATTGTTTACTTTTGTAATGGGTTCTTAGAAGATCAACAAGACACCTTTCACTTGTAATGTCTGGAATGAACACTTAGAAATCACATGCACAATAATGCTTATATTCAAAAAGCAAAACAAGCAGCCCTCCAAAAAAGATATGAAACACTTCTGATATTTTCAAACCATGGTCAAAGTAATTTTGTATTTAATATTTATTTCAAGTGAAGAGCCATAAGAATACTACATGCTGACAATTTTCTTTTTTTGGAAAGGCCCAATTTATGTGCTTCTTTAATTACAAAATTTTACTTTAAATTTGGATATCATGGCTTGCAAACAGAAGTTTTTCTGTCTTTTTCTGTCTTTCTGCATATGCAAAAAAAACCAAACCACACATAGCAAACTGCATGTAGAGGCCTAGTACTAAATCTAGTGTCTTGCCTGAAGTTTTGGTAGGACTATGAGTACTGAAGGAGGTAAGGGATTTGGAAAACCCCACGCATTCCATGGAGAACACTACTACCTGATGTGGGCTAGGCATTGGGAAGTGCCTACCTGTCAAAAAGAAAAAACATACTGTATTTGTAAAATAGGAATATATTCCAGTTAGAAGAGAACTGGAAAGTTTTAAAATTAACACAAACTAGGCTGTAATAGTATTGGAAACTCTCTAAGATCAACTTAACTCCCTCATACTAGAGCAGCTGTGCTACTTAGAAACCTTATTTCAGTAGCATACATTCCTGCTTCACTCTTCTCGTCTACAAAATATCTACACAAATAATTTCAGATCGTTGTTTTTCTATGCAAATCCAAAACCACAATAAATTCTTATTGAACACAAGCTACTTAAAGAAATTAAGCTTTCATTAGTCACATAATTTTCTTAAAAATCCCAGAAACATACATAAAACAAGAGAACTGACCAGTTTTTGTCTTCAATTGCTGCTGTCCTCTGCTGGGTGTATGAGCTCCTCCTCCAAAGATAGCAGACCACATTTTGTTGTTAAGTGGATGAGCCATAATTCTATACAACTCATTGCTAGAATGTGTTGCAAGGCCATGGATGAACAGGCTGAGATAGACCGCAGTTAGAATTTCACAAAGTAGAACTGTCAGACCTGGCTGAGCTTCCTCGCCAGCAGAATTCAAGAGACGTATTAGAGCCGTCATTCCTGTTTATATAAAATAAACATTCTTTAAGAAAGCACAGATATGTGTGTGCGAACATACTCCAGATTATCATGGGTATTCTGCCTGGCAACCATGTTACTTAGTAATGTTTAGTGTAGTAAAATTCCAAATTCTACATATTGAAACCTAAGTTGAAAACTTCAGGAGAAAGAGGCAAGCTCTTAATTTTTAACAATTTGTTAGTTTTTTAGCTTCCTGTTTTGGAGTAATGGTTAAGGAAATGTATAACACCTTTTCAATTATTATAACTACACTATAATCTTGAAAGCTGAAATTCTATCTTCTCACTTTACAGTGGTAAAACCAATCAAAAATCATGGGCATCAACTTGCATTACACATTGTCTAGCAAGTGTTCTTTCACCCAAGTACTAAATATCTTGTAATGTTTTTATTCTCCCACAAAAGGGTGTAGTTTCAGATGTGGCTTCAATGTGACACTTTGCGCACACAAGTAAAAATGCACACAGCCATGGCAAAGAATTCTGCTTTTGTCATGCTCTCCAATTTGCACACACAGCATATAAATCAACTAAAATATAGAGCAAGTCAGTTCAAGGTGATGTTCTTCATAAGAGCAATTGCTAACAATTCCTTGTCCAACTCATCAGAAATTTAACCCTGCGATAACTTAGTAACAAGAAAACAGATGACAAGCTAGTTTTTCTATAAAATCTCTAGTCAGTGACAATGTTTGGCCAAAAAGAAAAACTGGCATGGAATCAAATACAAAGGTTGCTCCAGGTTCTCCATGAAGATTTTCAAAGAGAAATTGTCTGATTTAAGAAACAATTCTCAGAATAAGTAAGCACATTTCCTGGCTATGCTTACATTAAAGCTAGTGTTGTAAACATCTATACCTAGATGTATTACACTGGTAACACTCCCTCTAATGTAGTTCCATAGCATAGTTTAACCAGCATAGATGTCAGCACACTCTTAAGTATTACCTGAAATCTGACATTAATTTTACAGCTACAGAAAACCATGATTTATTACAAATGTCTTGTTTTTAATAGTTTTAAGGTAATTCAGAAGTTGTCCATAAGGTAAAATAATTCTGAGCTGGAGCAAAAAGACAGCATTCCCAGTCCTTCGGACTCAAGAAGTAGAATCCTGATACTCTAGGGAGTGTAAATAGAGCACAGGACATGACTTCATCCTACCTCCTATCTAGCTGCTCTCTCTTTACTAGAACCAGCACTAACATTTTTTAGTTAAAGAAAGCAATATAGACCAATTTGACTTAATAAATAATCAGAAGTAGTAATTTAGATGTTAAAAAAATCACAACATTTCAATCAAAGAACTCAACACAGCTGTTAGAAACACTACTAGAAAGTCACAGCCACATGCTCTTACAGTGGATCCAGATAACTCAGTTTTCCTTAAGAGGAAGGAAACAAGTCTAGATACCTGGCCACTGAGCAGGGGATGTGTTGGGAGTCACTGTTTCTTCTAAGCTTGCTGTTCTTAAAGAATGGCGTTGAGTTAACAGGACCGTCTGGTATACTGTCCCAGTGAACTGATTTGCTTGAAATGAGCTGTGAAACAGAGAAGCAGGAAATAACATTTATTTTTAAAAGTTACGCTTACAACTATTCAAGTGATAGCACTTTCTACATGTAGGCAAGTGCGATCACTGCCTTTTGATGCCCCATTCATTACCATGGCTGCAATGAGACAGCTGTCTAAAAACCACTTTTCATAGACGTTACCTGTAGCTGTGGCCATCACAGAGACATTGGTAGATGCAAGCAGAGAGCGATGCTGCTAAGGTATGCATTACATATATCTGAAAGACAAAGTTTTACAGAACTCATTACACCCAAAGTGAGCTGTGGTTAATATCACAGCTCTGCATACAAATGTGTAACAAGCATTGGTCATGAAAGGTTTAGGTCCTTATGCATTTACAATGCCACCTTTTGCTTCAGAATTTATATCAGACAAATCAGTTCACACCCTATAAAAAGGATGACAGAAAACTCACTCATCCCACCAACACATAATCAGAAATCAGCTCCATCTGAAATGTTTTCAATTATTAAACAGCAGCAAATTAAGCCTGTATTCAACAGTCCTACATAATTACACACTAAAACAGTGGCAGTTTGCTGGCTCAGAATACAAAGAATTGATTCCACAATGAAAACTATAATGCAGCTTAGTTTTTGATGAATTCTAGTGCAGCTCCTGGACACACACTCAATTTACTCAGTATCGTACTGATCAGTACTTTTAACACAGCTGACACTTTTTTTAATGTATCACAAAACACACTAAGATTAAAAAGCTAGAGAAGCTGTTAATCAAAAAGGTTCCATTAAACCAAAACCAGTTTATTGTATTTATTTGTTTGTTCCCTCTAAAACAAAGCTAACTAGGACTAAACAATCTTTTTTGTGTTCTTTAGAAATTCTTACTAAAAGCAGACATTATCTGGGACCTAACAATACAAAACTTCTGGAAAGACTAAGTTTTATTTCCAGTCACAGGTTAAATACAGGAGAAATCTTACAGAAATAATTTTTAAAAACTACTGTACAAACAAATACGGTTTCACAAAAAAAAAGTATGAGTTTATTGAAGTTTGCTGACACTCAGTTTTTTGTACTTAAACATTTAATTTTACTTATATCTAAGAATAAAATGCAGAATCTGCCATTAACATAAAAAAGTAATGAACATACTGTCATAAAGACAAATATTATGCTGATGCTTTAGTATAACATATTTTCCATTAAAATGTCCTCTTGGACAAACATCCAGTTCTGAGAGAGGCCAATCTACAACAGCTTGTTGAACCAGATGCTCAACACCTCAACAGCAACTGATGATCTCTGGACATTTCTTTAAGCTCAAGGTAAGTACTACAGAAAATGATTGTGTTTCATGGCTTTACTTTGTCACAGATAGGCACAGCACAAAGCTGTCATTCTGTCTGAAAGAAAAATTTGTGACTTCAGCAAACTAGATGATAACAACAACAAAACAACTGTAAAAAAATACATACCTTGCTGTTCTGAGCATCTGGATGAGGTGGTGAATCAAGGTTTATTATAGCATGTAATATATCATGAGTTAAATTGCCAAGATGTAGCAATGGATTAGCCACCACTGTTTTGGCACTAGCTGTGCAAGCAAATAGGAGAGGTATGGAGTTTTGCTCTGGTGGAGGGCTGGAAGGTATCTGTATTGACTGCTCCTAAAATCAAGCAAGAAACACATACACAAAGCAATAGTACATATTCTTTAAGATATCATAATAATTTTTGAAAGAGGGAAAAGGATTCTATAAAACAACAACAAAAAACAAGCAATGTACAAAAAAACTCTGTCAAAAACAGATTTAGATTTATTTAAAAACGTGTATGCTACACAAGGAAAATTTCAAAAATATTGCAAAACACTTTCAAATAAATCTACAAACCTGAAGCAGAGAAAACAAAACCTAAGCCCCCCCACATACCTGCTGAGATTCTTGCAAGAGCAGAATTAATTCCATTCTGACAGATGCCAAGCCTCCACCGTGTGAGCCATGAAGTACACAGTAACTAAGGAACATTCTGAGGAGAGACTGGTATTTCAGAAGCCACTGGCGTCTTTTCTGAAAGTCTTCTTTCTGGAGCATAGTTTTTTCCTGGTCAGCTAAGTCTTCAGTGTTTTCATGTAATGTAGCTTCCTCTGGCATCCCTCTAACTCCTGACTGTATCTCTTCTGCTTCAACACCATAATCACAGGTCTTCTGAAGAGCTACCACTTCTCTCTCAAGCCACTGGTAAAGCTGATACCGCAACTTTCCACCATCGACTTCATAGCCAGTGGATAGTGTACGAAGCTCCACAGTAAGGATTTTCAGGCATGCCCTAAACTTCAGCTGTGCTGAAATTATATCTTCTGATGGACTTAGAATATCTTTGTCATCAACTACACTAAAAGATTCTGTGTAGCTAGAACCTGTTTCATGTAATTTTTCAGTTTTCTTCAGAGGTTTTAGCTCTTTCATTACCAGGGAAGAATCTTCACTTTCATCATTTTCATCACTGTCTGACTGTAGTTGCAATTGCTCATCTTGGAATAGAGCACTTGGCTGGCTCCAATCAAAGGACAGAGTGGAACTTGAATGTTTTCCTGATGAACAATCTGAAGATGAACCTAGACCATTGAATACTGGCTGTGACCAATCAATACTGGAAGCTTGATCCTTTGTTTCAAACTCTTTAACTG